TAAATTCAAATCAATAATTTAAAATCTATTGTTCTTTAATAATTAGATCAATTAATTAGCAACACTAATGATTGGATATAAAATTTAAAATAAACAGGATCTCAATACTCAGAATATAGTTTCTTCAAAGAATTAGATATAATAATAAATTAATAAAATAATAAAGATGATTTGATTAAATGTTAAAATCAAATTAAAATACTTAATCAAAGTTGGATTACAAAAGTCAATTCTAAATTAGAACAATTCAAATCATTTCAAGAATATCAATAATTAAAGGAGAAAATGAACTAATTAATTAAATAAATCAACAATTAAGTCCAAATCAATTATTATTTATTGATGATACAAATGAATAAAAAGAAATTTGTAATGAAATTGTATTTGATTCAACTGGAAAGATTATGGTTTCAACTTGTGAAAACAAAATTATAATTTGGAATTTCAATAATGGAAAGATTGAAAAAGTTCAAATGCTTTCAGAACATTAAAAAGTTATTAATTGTTTAGTATATAGTAAAATTAAAAATTATTTTATTTCTGGATCACAAGATGGATCAATTATATTATGGAAATAGTTGGATTATAATCAATGGTAAAGTTCTAAACCAAAAAATGAGCATAAGAAAGGTATCTATTGTGTAATCTTAACATAAAATGAAGATTAATTAATTTCAGGTTGTTAAGATTCCTTAATTAATATATGGAGAATAGATTTTATTAATAATCAATTAACATTTCTCTATTCTTTATAAAAACATACTGATTAAGTCATCTCATTAAGTTTAAATGAATCAGAAAGATTATTAGTTACATGTGGATTAGACAAATCAATAATAATTTGGTAAAAAGATGCAAACAATAGATGGTATTTATCTTAATTTGTTAAATAATCCAAAATTAGATATAGAGAGTCCTGTTAAATTTATATAAGAAGATAAATTCATATGGGTATCTTATTCAGCCAATAGTTTATGTGTATTTGAACAAAAAGATGGTTAATTTCAAGAAATAGTAGAGAAGAAAGTTTAATTTAGTAATTTTATTCAAAAATGTTTAAATTTACCATTTTTCCCAATAATCTACATAAAGGATAAAAATTTGATATGCTTAAGACATATGAAAAATATTGTGTTACTCAAAGAGCAAAATGATGGATAATTATCAATTGTTTAGGAATTAGATTGCCAAGATTGGAGCATACATGGAACAGTTACAAAAAATGGATAATATATAATATTTTGGGGAGGAAAGAAGAAGAAATATGAGATATTTGAAATATAATATAAATGAAATAAATTAGTTATTATAAGTATAAGGAATCATTATTTTATTTAAAATTATGATATTATTTTATTTCCTTGAGAACTATAGGTACATAAGATTAAAGATTCTTAAATTGATTTTGGGAAATAATAAAATTTAAAATATTAAAAAATATATAATATTTTGGCTCGAATTTTTATAACAATAATAAAGATATATTGTAAGTAATTGAAATATAAAATAGTTTATGGTAGTTTTATAAAATAATTGAAAATAAATATCAAATATTTTAGATCTCAGTAGATTAGTTTTACATATAAAAAGGCATAGGCATACAAAGAAGATACTAAATCTTATGAATAACACTTAAAATTAATCAATATTAGTTTAAATACATATTTTTATAACTATGAAGATTAAGTAACATTGAATTAGTTGTAGGATAATTAAAATAAATGTAATAATGTCATTCAATTTAAAGGGCTTTTAATATTATTTTTAAATAATCTTTAAAATTATTCAACTTTAAAGGATGGTATATTTAAAACATATATAATCTAAAATAAATAGTTGTATGAGATAGTCAGATAATTAAATTAAATCAAAATATCACGAAGATCCTTTGAATAACTATAAAAAAAATTTTTAGTTTAGATTTTATAACCTTTATGCTTCTAAGAATTAACTCAAAACATAATCTAGCTTTGTTAAATTTTTTATATTAGTATTGGATTTATAATCTTTAACAAAATTCTAATTTTTTTGGCTTATATTGTTTAAAAGCTCTTAAAGTGGTATTTAATATTTTTTATACTTGACTATTTTAATACTATAATTATTATAATAATTATTAAATTTTATTTTGTTAATTGAGAACTTAATAGATTAATTCATTCATAAATAATAAAATGTATCAATCGTAGTTATATGTTATTTAGTGATGATTGCATATTATTTGTATAAAATCAATCTTCACAGCTGATAAACATGCCATAAAATCCAGCAATTTATTAATTAACTATAGAATAATGAGAATTTAGAAATATTTAGGAGATTAAGTTGACTAATAAATGATGATTTAGTATGGACGTCTTTTTATACATCAAGAAAATAATGTAGGTAATTTTAGCTACCTTAAAACTCATCAATTAAGCTCAAATTGAAATTCAATTCATTCATCATTACAATTCCATAAACAATACTTTTTAATTTAAATTTTTTAAGATTTGGGGCAGAAAGCATATGTATAAAGTTAAAAAAGAAATTCCTAATTTCGTAATATCATTTGTTAGGAATTATCAGCAGCTATTAACATAAATTAAAGATTATAATAATAAATTGTCTATTAAAAAAAATTTTATAAAATGTAAAACAAAACAAAATATGACTAAAAAAAACTACCATAATTATCAATTTGGTCATTCTAAAATATAATAATAAGTCATTTTTGCATAGAGCTTTCCAAAATGCAACTTCCTTTTTATTTTAATAATGGTCTTAAATCAAAACCTTACTAATTAATAAACTCTCCTCTAAGGACAAGAGCTCTATAAACTTAAAATAATGGTGTTTGGGATATCCGAAGAATAGTAATATTTGTCGTAACTAAATATTATAAAACGATAAATACATGTAAAAGGGTTGTTTTATAAAAAAGAATCCTTACAATTTTCCAAAATCTCTTTATACCTATTATCCGATGATTAAATTTCTTATCCTGTCTTGACATCCCATAGACGGATAGACTTATCATAATTACCAGAAGCTAATGTATTTCCATCAGGAGAGAAACAAACTGAGTTGACATATCCACTATGACCATCTAATTTGAGTTTTTATTATCCTGTTTTGACATCCCATAGACGGATAGATTTATCTATACTACCAGAAGCTAATGTATTTCCATCAGGAGAGAAACAGACTGATACGACAGTATCACTATGACCATCTAATTTGGCTTTTTATTATCCTGTTTTGAAATCCCATAGACGTATAGACTTATCATTACTACCAGAAGCTAATTTATTTCCATCAGGAGAGAAACAGACTGAGTAGACAATTCCAGTATGACCATCTAATTTGGCTTTTTATTATCCTGTTTTGACATCCCATAAACAATCTTACAGACTATCTAAGGTGAATTTTTCTTATACATCCCAGATACGGATAGATACATCAATTCCACTAGAAGCAAGTTTTTTTCCATCATGCGAGAAACATACTGATAATACGCAGTCTTGATGACCATCTAATTTAGATTTTTCTTAACCTGTTTTTAGATTCCATAAACGGATAGAATAATCATCACTACCAGATGCTAAGGTAGTACCATCAGAGGAAAATGAAACTGTTCTAACATAACTGCTATGGCCAAGCAATTTTAGTTTATGCTCACCCGTCTTCGAATTCCATAAGTGAACAGAGTTATCTTCGCTACCAGATCCTAAAGTAGTACCATCTGGTGAAAATTATATAGAAAAAATAATTCCAATTTAACAATCTTTTTTAAATATTTCTTTTCCTGTCTTCACAGTCCATACACATAAAAAGCCATCTGAACTACCAGATGCTAATGTAGTACCATCAGGAGAAAAACATAATGATTGAACATAACCGCCGTTACAGTATAGTTATGATTATTATTAACCTGTCTAGGTATTCCATAAACAAATTGAGTTGTCTCGACTACCAGATGCTAATATAGAACTTGAAGGAGAAAAGCATATTGACAAGACAATTCCATTGTGACCTTCTAATTTCCTAATTAGTTATCCTGTTTTAGAATCCCATAAAATGATTAGGTTATCATTACTGCCTGATGCTATTTCATCTCCATTTGGAGAAAATGAAACTGTACGTATGCAATCTCTATGCCCTTCTAATTTCATTTTTTATTATCCTGTTATTACATCCCAAAGCCAAATTGAATTATCCCTACCACTAGAGGCCAATATTCTTCCGTCAGGAGAAAAGCATACACAGTAAATATCATTGTTAAGGCCATCAAATTTTTTAAATTGCTATTAACCCGTCTATACATCCCACATATGAATAGATTTATCTTCACAACTATATGATATTAAAATAGCATCAGAAGAAAAGCTGACTGAAGATATATTTTTTCTGTGCCTAAATAATTGAGATTTTTCTCTTCTTGTTTTAACATCCCATACTCTAATAGACTTATCCTTAGTACAAGACGCTAATGTAGTACTGTCAGGAGAGAAACAGACTGATCTAACATAATCACTATGATAATCTAACTTAGCTTTTTATTATCCTGTTTTAACATCCCATAAAGAATAGACTTATCCCTACTACTGGATGCTAATGTGGTCCCATCAGGAGAGAAACATACAGAATTTACATCATTTCTATGTCCATTTAGTTGAAATTTTTCTTACCCTGTCTTAACATCCCATAATATGATAGACTTATCCTTACTACAAGAGGCTAATGTTGTGCCATCAGGAGAGAAACAAATTGAATAAACCCAATCATTATGACCATCAAATTTCAATACTTGTTATCCAACCTTAAGATCCCATAACAAAATTGAATTATCCTTACTACAAGAGGCTAATGTTTTGCCATCAGGAGAGAAACATGCCGAAAATACACAATCACTATGATTATCAAACTTAAATTTTTCTTTTCCTGTTTTTATATCCTATAAACGGATAGACTTGTCCTTACAACATAATGCTATCGTACTGCTATCAGGAGAAAAACATATAGATTTGACACTTCCCTCCTGACAATCAAAAAAATTTTATTCATTAATTTTAATATTTTTCCATTTACAATAAAACAATTAGGCACCATTTAAGTTCATTCCACTTATATCGACATTTTCAAAATGAGATCCATTCAAATTACATCTTACAAAATTAGCTCCAATCAACTAGGTGTTTTTAATCTTTATATTTTCAAAATTCTTTTTTGTCAAATCTGCCTTCATTTCAACTAATAAGTATAGTGAATTTGATCCACATTAGATGAATTGGTCATCTATTGCTGTGAGGTGAACTAAAAATTTCAGGAATTTTATGGTCTATCCCTCATCCTTTGTTCTTTTAATTAGATTTAGAGTGGATTCATAATTTTCTTCAGTTGAAAAGTCTTTGTTATTGAAGACATGATCTTTTAATTTTTTTAAGACATTTTTAATTTGGTTGATTTTATTTCTTACATCATGCTTTTTCTATTCCTCTTCGACTTGTTTTAAGTATTCTTGTTGTTGATAGATTGATTATTCTAAATGTCTATGATTCTCAGTGTGTGAAAGATATCCAATGCAGTCTTAAACTTTACTCTTTCTAAATATTTCTAATATGACACCGAATATTTGTTCATCTACATCTTTTATTTAAGTAAAGATGTCAGCTAGAGCTTCCTTATCTTCAAAAGGGCCCTGCATAATCTTTTTTATTATTAATATTGAATTTCTATTACTCTAACTATAAGTTATATACTGCATAATCGATAAAAGTATCTTCTTTATTTTTGCAAAATAAAAGTTCAAACTTTGTTTGTAATTGATGTGAAATATTGTATTGAAAAATCATTTAAACATATGCATTGCTTAATTCTTTATTATTATAGAATATATAATTATTTTATACTTGATTTGAGTTATATAATGTGATCCTTCAGATTTATAATAAGAAATCAATAGTACCTTCTAGTAAAAATCATTAAAATATAAATATTCATTAAAATAATATCCCTTTATCTCAACACTACCTAATCATTTAGATTTATTTTTAAGTCTTAAGTTTATTATCATAATTTATAGTCTTGTTTCTAGTTTATTATAACTAAAGATAAATCTTAATTATTTATTCCTTAATTTAAATATAACGCTCATAATCTAAATAGAAATTTAGGGTAAAATAACTTTCCTCTTATGTAACTTGAATAGCCTAAGTTGAAAAACTTAAAGTTTGATCCTATTTGTATTTTTTTGGTAAATATCTAATTTGAGAACTGTTGAAATATAGATTAGGAAGGTATTTAATAACAACTTACTTCAACACTAGATCTGTTAATGATATATTCATCTTACATCTACTCCTTTCAGTTTTCAATTATCTTTTTATTCTACATTTCGTCTTTTATTGTAATTAAGCACCTTATTAAATATAAATCTTCTCAAGTAAGAAATTCATAAGAATTGCTTTAAATAGAACCTTATCAAATTATCTTAGTAAACTTAATTCTCCAATTTACATAAGCCAGGATTAGAGAAACTAGATCTATTTCATAAAATTCATTGAAAGAACTTAATTGATCCCTAAAGTTAAACTAAAAGATGATAAAAATTACATCTCATCAGATAGATTCAACTTTTAATTTCAAAACCTTAAGGAGGTATTAGAAAATTATGTTCCTTATTCGAATATATTCCATTATGTGATGGATTATTATTTTTGTTAATTTATTTTTAATTATTTACAAAATTCTTTTTTCAAATTTATTAAATCAATCTCTTAAAATATTAGGTTAGGGAGATTCATTTACTCTTCAAAATTAATATGAGGATCAATTATAAATAGTTTATAACGGGAAGCTATTTCACGAATCTATTTAAATCTTTAGACTAAAAATTTCTCTAAGTATTTAATATTGATCAAGTCCTTTACCAATAAAATTTGAGGGAAATTTGTTCTGATTTTCCCCTATTTACTAAATTAATTAAAATTAAGTACATTTTTGATGTTATTATTTTTTCATAAAATAATGGTACTTTTTGAACAAATAATTTTTCGAATTCCTAAGAGTATTTTGAAGATTTAATTTTTTGATTACATGTGTAGAAGATAATTTAAAAGATGATAATTATCTGCTAAAGTAAATTTTATTTGGTTATATAAATAATTTAACATGTTTTCATAATTAGGAATGTCTTTTAACTAATTGTAATGATACTATTTATAATAAGATTATAATGATAACATTTAATATATTTTTATAAATATAAACCATAAATTTCATAGATTGTTAATTTTAATAATAACTGATTGCATTATTAAACAAATTAAAATAATGCAATTATTTTTATTAATGTTTTTATCTTAATAATAAAATTCCATGCTATTCATTATTATTAACTTTACATTGCTCAATAATTTAATTATGTAAAAAATTATAGAATCGAATTAAAGATTGATTAGCCAACCTTGTCTCATAATTAAGAAATGCTTATTTTTAATTCAATTTATTATTAAGATTCATATTAATGCTTATGGCAAATACTTTTTTTTCCCCCTCATTAATTACTTTTGGGTAGATTATTAACAAATTTATAAGATATAACAAGTTAATTTAGGTAGATACTAAATCTTCAAAAGTATTATTCTCATTTACTAAAGTTTTTGGAAATACACAAGAAGATATTTTGATATATAATTTAAACATAATATTGGTAATTCTGTTTGTTTCCATGTCTATGAGCTTCCAAAATTTGAATCAATTTTCTAATAAACTTCATATCCAGACACGAGCAAAAATTTAATTATTTAATTGATTTAATGAATGTTAAATAAGATTTGTGATTTCAAAGCAATAAATATAATAATTTTTATAAAATATACATTATTTTATGTTGCCCTAATGTCCTGATTGTTCTGATACTTTTTGCTCTAAAACTTCTATTTTTTTTAATCTTATAACTGTTTCTATTTCGGTTTTTCTTTTTTGATTAAGGATGTGCTATTTTAAAGGTTTTAATTCTTTAAAAATTCTTCCTTGAAATGATATACCAAGAGATTTATTTAATGATTAAATTAATATTTATGAAAAATTCTCTCTTAACATCTTCCTCAGTGATTATGTATTTATATTCCTAAATTGAAGAAAAGAATTTTGTATGATTTGGATTCTAAGTATATAATATGTTGATGCAATATTTTATCGGGAAGATGATGCTTTTCAATCCCCCAAAGTAGGTTTCTTGAGCTAAATTTCCAAAAATTCAAGCCCAAAATAACATTAGATTTCCCAATCAACTATCCCTATATTGAATAAAGATAGTTTATTTAATCCTGGATGCTTATATCGCAATCAACCTTCAAATATATTCTGTTTTAATTCTAATTTTTCTGCTTTGCTTAAAATTCCTTTAAAATAATGCTGTAATTGGCAATATACAATGGAAGCATTGGCATCTTTGATAACATCCTACATTTAACGTAAATTTTAACTATTTTATTTATATTTCGAATTTAAATTTCACCTATAAATAAACAATTTTACATTTAAATTGGGATTAATAGATGATATAATTTTAAACTTATAAGTTGAAATGATTAAATGATTTATAATTGTAAAATAATGTATATCAAAGAAAATAACAAAATTTCTTATATATTATAAATTGATTGTAGTTAATTGGTTTAAAAATTTTTAAATAAAACTAAATTAATAAACTACATAATTATAAAGTTATGAGATTTTAATATTATTCAAACATAAAGCCTTAAATAAAAAGTAGTATTTTATAATTAATAGATTTATAGATTTATAGCAGTTCATTTATAAAAATGAGAAATTTAAAACAAGTGTAAAATAATAAGAAAATTATTAAAATCAAAATAAAATTTAAACAATTTATCATTCTATTTTAATATATTTTAGATTATAATACTATGATCATAAACTTACAACTTAATTTAATAGATTTCTAATATCATCATTATTTATATTAGATAATACTATTAATTATTAATAAATTGATAGGGGTTAAGAATATTAATAATATTTATATCCTAATCATTTAAATATAAATCATATATGAGACAATTTGGTGTCCAAATTATTATATATTTACCATCACTACTTTTGCTTGCTCTACAATAATTATCCTAATTATTAAATGGATTTTAACTGATGGATCTAATATAATAGTATTTCATGATTTTTTGTGAATAATACAATTTACACATGTTAACTATTACCAAAACATACAACACATTTTAGATTTGGGAAAAGTTAAAATCAAAATAATCTGTAAACAACAGAGCTTATAACTTGTTTTAGGATTAAGACCATTCCAATAAATATTTTTAAGGCAAATATTTAAATATCCTAAACATATATTCAGTAGTTTTTTTTCAAAGTTCTTTAATTTTAAATCGAAAAATGTTTTTTTCCTTTACTTCAATAATTTTGTTAGTAATTTTTTACACAATCAAGAATTATAACAAAGTAATTATCTATTTGAAATTTTTTGAAAAAATTAATCCTCTTGACTTAGCATTTAGCATAAATTATACTATATAAGAAATACATCTTATAGGTATTTTCTAAATTGCTCAATCACTTTGTCTGAATTCCAAATTATAATCATGTTTTAGGATAGAATTCATAAATTAATTGTTCATAGCAAAGTTATGAAGAATTTTTATTAGTTAGTTGGATTAACTCTAAAGTCTTTTAAGAGTGCAGGAATCTATTTATATTTAGGAAACCATTTTTAATATTTTTTTTTGATCCAATATCCCTAATAATAGCTCATCTTATCTGATATTTCTATAAATTTCTTATTTTCTATTGAAAATTATTATTCGTTAATAGTAGTAACCCAATCATCAATTATCTCAATCAAAGAATCATCAAAGGTATCTTAAATTTCAACTTTTCATTTTTTCTGCTAGGTATCCAAATTTGAGTAATTTAAGTCAACTATTTCATAAGCCTTCTTGAATCAAATCAATGTTCATAGCATCAATATAATTTTTCAAGTTTTAGTTAGAAGTATAACATTACTCTGTGGCTGCAGAGATTGAATCTAAATTGTTCACAAATATTGACTGAGGAATATATAAGTCTTCGAGTCTAAAAGACATGAGAGGAATCAAGGACTTTATATATTTTATTTATTATATTTATGTGTTTCTGATATCAAAAAAGAAATAGATTTTTTCAATTTAATGCTAATATATATAAACTTTTCAATTTTTATTGAAGCTAGAATGAAAAATATCTATATTTTAAAAACACATCTGAGATTGAATTCATTATTTTAAAACAAAAATTAATAAAAATAATGTGGTAAAAATTAGAAGTATAGTATTAAAAAAATTGACATTTAAAAAAAAAATAATTTTGTATCTATTCATCCAATTAATTGAAATAATTGATTCAGAGATTTCAAAAAAATATATTTTTGGGTATCTTCAAAGTTAAAATGAATTTAAAAACTCTGGTATTTCCATTTAACCATGCAATGTAGATTAATAATTAGAATCCATGCCGTGGAGAGAATAAGAATAATGTGGCTTATATTTTGGTTAATGTATGGATTTCAAAGATTGCAGCATAATCATTAAAGATAATTGTTAAGTATCATCATATAAATGTTTCTGATGGCTCAAAGTTGATTATGATGTTAGAATGTAGTGATTAAAAAGCAAAGAATAAGTTTGCGAATAAAAATTAGAATGGTAAGAATAGTTTTTGATTGTAGGGGTAGAGAAAAAATGAACAAATGTTAATATGTGCAAAGAGTTATCAATTTATTTAACTAATCGTAGCATGTGCAAAGAGGATTTTGAAGGGTGTACTATAAGTTAGAAATGTTATGGATGTATGAAATAAATGGAGGCTTTTTCAAAATATGTCAATAATTTTAATGATTTAAAAATAATTCTTTCTAAGTTTCAATAAGAGGTTAATGTATTGAAAAGGAGTGTGAAGATTTGCCATTTACTCAGGATTATGAAAGTACGACATATTTAAGTGATTGTAAAGTATGTATGGAAATGTATATTTAATAAAGATGAGTTTAATTTATCTATGTTATACAAATAAATGGAATTCATTGTGTAATAAGGTAGTGGTGTAATTTTGCTGAGAATAAATTTGGTATTGAAACTGATGCTTAGAGTAAAATATGCCAATATCATAAAAATTAATATAATATAAAGAGCTGCCACACTGCTACAGATTCCCTTAAGACCTATCAATAATGCTAGGATTATGAAAATATATTGGGTTGTGTTACTTCATAAAATAAAGTCTGTAAAAATAAACCTGGCATATGATGGTTATGATTTTGAAATTGATTGCTATTTGATAGAATAATAAGATTTTATGTGGTATAAAGATAAATGTGAATAAAGATAATTTTCTCATGATCTAATTGATTATCGTCTTACATATTGTCAATAATATGGGAATTGTATTGGGTAAGAAAAGAATGATGTTAAGTGGCACATTAGTCATGTGAAGAAATACTGGAAGAATAGTTATTATGAATTATAATAAATATATTATTGGATCGCATAAATGAATAAATATTATTAAAGCTGTATAAAGTTGAAAAATCATATTACAAAAAACATAATATATGCTAAAAAGGCAAGTTAATATTGCACAAGAAATTTCGATTTTATTGGTTGAGAAGGCTATTTTGTGAAAATATTGGAGAGAAAGAGTATTGTTGATTCTAAAAATACTGTTTTGCTTGTTGAATTCGGCATGCATAGAGAAGTGATGCAAAACTCCTCCATCTTGTAATATTTATCAGGAATGTGATGGGTGGATGCCTAAATGCAAAGTTTATGTATAACTTGTATCTAATTCAAAAATTTTGATTAGTTATGTAGTTAAAAAGGGTAGTTTTGTGCTTTCTATTCAAGATCAATGCTATCCAATACTTTTAGTACTTAATTTTTAATTTAATGGAGATAGTTAAAGATTTATTGATTAAGAATATACAGATACAGATCCTAACTTGTATTTAAAAATAATGATTGCAAATCATTTAAAGTTTTTTTGGTCTTAATGAAATGATAAGTCAATAACTGTGTTAATTAAATCTATAAGATGGAACAAAGTGTTTTTGGATATAAGAAATAAAAACGTTTAGATGCTCCTAAAATTAATTACATTAATAATGTTTAATGCAACACTTGGTTGAATAATTGTATTTTAGATCATACTCTTGGGGAATCCTAAATGCAAAGTAATTTCCTCCTTTATAGCTGTTGGATGTGAACCAAGGAAGGCAAGTTTTTACGAGTTCATCAGGCCAAAGAATCTTCAGGAATATATAATTGGATAAATTTGCTATTGGGATGATAAAGAACAAAGTTGTATGTATGAGGAGGAATATAACAATAGAATAGTTGATTGTCATAAGAGACTTTATGGTGATTTAACTCACTAGGATTGTGAAAATGCACATTAACTAATATTATTAAATCCAGTTCAAATCTTCCATATTATTGCGATTATAAATAGAATCTCCCTAAAGTTCTTGTGCCTCATACAAAATTAAAAACTCACGTGATGCAATGGAATGTTCATTTATATAGTTACTCAAACCAAATTTTCTAACATAGATACTTTTGAAGAGATTATTCCTCCTATTTATGCTTCAAGTAGTAATTTATAATAAAAGAATGAATAATTTATTTTGCAAATAGCAAAAGTACACCATCTTATATTTTCATTAAGTAATTGTGTACGAATGGTTGTTAGGACAATTTCATTCAATTTTTTAAACTATAAATAAAATAGAACTCAATTGTCAGAATTTGAATAAATAAAATTATAGTTTAAGCTTCATTTTATTAATGAATAATTATTTTGGGAACGATTAACAATAATTTTCAGATAAGTATTCTATCATAAAATGATATAATATAAGTGTTGTTGTTATATATTTTATAAATCATAAATATTCAAAATCGAATTTCTTCAAGAGAGTTAGAAAACTAACAGATTTTTGTTATTGCTGATGGGAAAAAAAATATATTTCATTTCACAGGTGATGTTAATAATACTTCTATTATTGAAGTAATGGTTGAATTTAGGTGAAAAAGTAGGTTTAACATACTTTCACTAGATAGCTTTTACATTTAAAGATTTTATTTGGTTTGGTAATCACAAAGGTGAATTTTTCACATCAAAATTTGTCCCTTATACCAAATATAATAATTAATTCAAATTCTAAATAATTAGTGATAGTAACAAACTTGTTACAGGCCAAACGATTTGGCACTAAACTTTAAAATAATATTTATATATAAATATCAATATGGATAAATTTAGTTAATATATGATCCTTAATAAATACAGACTTTCTACAATATTTTTTATCGAAATTATTATTTAGAATCCTTTTATATAGTAAAAATCAATATTATCAGAAGTAAATATGGTCATTTTAAATCGATTTTATTAGGTTAATACTTCAAAATGATGAAAATTTCAATATAGGTTAGAATGGTCTAACAAATTTTAATTAGCTAAATTATTAGGCTTTCGGTTTTCTGTAAATCTCATACTCATCAAACTAGATGGCTGTAATCGGCCTAAGAATATAACTATTTGACCTATCGATTGGTTTATACAAAGAATATATGTCTATTAGGTTTTACTCTTTTTAATGCTACTTTAGAAAATAAATTGTTTGATAGGTTTTTCTATTTATAAGAAATAGAAAAAGATTAAGTATGGAAGTGAAAATAAACTTATTTCTTGAAGTAAGTTCGTATTTTTAGAGACATAAATTACACTTTTTTATATTTTAAGTTATTCTCTCAGAAAAAAAAGAGATTGACATAAAAATTTAGAAGAATTATAAATTCCCCTCTTTATTGAGGCATCCAAAATGATGTTGATGCACTAAACAAAAAAAATAAGAGGATATTAGAAGCCCAAGTTCTCAAAATATATTAATATGAAAAGGTAATTAAAGAAATTCAATTCCATTTAATATATAGAAGATAGTAGTAAGGGATATTGTATAGAGAAATATCAAAAGTAATTACAAGATAAATATTCAGGAACAGAAGATTTCAATAAATTTTCTAATTCTATGTTTATTAATATTTATAAACACCAGTCACAAGAATTAATAAAATATCTAAGGAAAGCATGCAGGAAAACTTAACTATTATCATAAAAGTATATGCAGAGATAAATTGTTGAGGAAAGATAGCTTAGCTTTCTAAATGGGATCAGTATCGAGGCTCACTTAATACATGTGGGAATAATAACTCAAATAATTGACTTTGCCATATATTAGGATTAATTGTTAATCTATTGAAACGAATTGCAAAAAATACATTTAAAGCAATTACTTTCTAAATAGAATGTTAATATATATTTTAAATTAATAAATTCCTTATTACGTTTAATTTGAAGCTAGATTTGCTCTTCATGCTTGAAAAATACAATTTAATTACAAGAATGCTGAGGGGCTTCTTAATTATGATGTTTATTTTTAAATAGATTAAGTGAGTGTTGTAATAAAAATTGAATTTGATAAATCAATAAAAAGGAAATTGAGTAGTAAATCAAATAATAAGTAATATTGAATATATTGATAATAACATCCATAATAAAAACTTTTAAATAATATTACATGATAATATTATAGAAATTGATGAGTATATATTGGTAGATGTTCTTTTAAGAGTCTAAAAAATATTATATTTCAATATTTTTTGAAAAATATGGAAATAAATTAATCAGTTTGCTAAAACATTTAGGATGAAAAGTCAAGAAATAGATAAATGTGGTAAGTTATCTTAATGAGTTAAATTTTGGAACTTTAGGTAGTTGAGATAACCGACATAATTCAAAAATTAATGATTATTAAATATATTGAGAATGCTCTATTGAAGGGCAAGGAATTGAAAATATACTGAGATAATAACTAATTATAATTCTTCTATTATATAATGATTAGTTCCTATGCCTAACCAAACTAGTTTAAATTGCTATTATCATTACCTTTAGTTTTCTTTCTAAATTTTTTAATTACTCATCAAAATCATTCAAAGATTAACAATGATCTCAGGTTATTATCCTTATATTTAGGAATAAAAATTTTATTATGGAATAAGAATTTAATATTTTCTATGCCTTGAATGTAAAATATTCACATATTATTCTCATTCGCTGAGACAATTTATCAATTGTAAATATCAGAAATTTCTTCTCAATCAAAGAATTTAATATGCTTAAAAGTTATTCTATTCAATAATATGGCTCAATTACCTAAAAACTGAGTGAAAAATCCAAAAAAAAAGTGATGGTAATATATGTTACAAAAGTTAATCACTATTATCTAGCATATACAAACAACTAGTAAGTACTAAATTGCTTTTAGTTTAGGAATTCTTTTGTTTAGACTTAAGAAACTTTGCTAAATTATGATCTAATGGGTTTAGAAAGTTTAATATATAGGATACTTTATATCTTATAAATTTCTCTTAAAAGTTTAAATGAAATAAACATAAGCCTTTAGGATTTATAAACAAAATTTATCTACTTGAGTGAAAATCTACTTTCAATGATAATAAATATAAAATGAAAAGAAATAAACGAAGTACAATAATAAGTATCTCAACCATAAAAATAAAATTGAAATAAGAAATATAGAAATTTTTTTATTAAATAAAAAGAATATTAGAGAATAAAAAATTTGATACCATTCAAATTAATTTATAATATGAATATATATAATATGTTTAAAAAGTGTCATATACATTTAATCGAATATTATATTAAGTTTTATTCTTATAGAATTATGAATTTTTGAAATGTATCAAGAAAAATTGAATATTAGAATTTATCAATAAATAGAACATTTTTTAAGATATTAAGTAATATAAATAGGATATCTATTATTTTTTTAGTATATAAACTACATATACTATATTAACAATTAATTCAAAAATAATATGCAAGATTTATAGATGTCTGAAAATTAGAATGAATTTAAGTGCATAAAAAAGCACAATTAAATGATCACTACCATTCTTATTGATGATAAATTACCTAAATAGGAAAGATTCTTATGTTAAGAATGTTTGGATAATAAACTTTAAGTATTTGAGAGTATGGGTCTTAATGCTATGTAAAAGATTATAGAAGATAAGTTAATCAAAAAGAGGAAAATCATCAATGATATTGCAGATTAATACATTGAAATAATTTAGTAATACAATAACAATCTAGAAAATTTAAAGACTAAATTAGCATCTGCTATTGAAATAATGATTAATGCCAATAAAAATTGGATTAGAGAATTGAATTAAAAAAAATAAGATTCCTGTATTTATAGCTTTATTGATGAATCAGATGATTATATTAGGAATAGATAATAATATTTGCATACATTTTAATTTGATTTTTTTGATAAAATGAATTACTCATAATTTAATAAATTAAAAATAGGAATTAAATAATTAATAGAAGCACACAGTCTTCATTAATACAAAGAATTTATTAAAAATATGAGTGATATTAAAGAAAAAAGAAAATAAGTTGAAAAAGTATCATGGTAACTTTCGATAGATGGTGATATTCAATTAAAATTGTTAAATAATTCTATAAATTAAGATGAAAAATCCTTAGCCTTGGCATTTAATTATTAAACAAATATATTAGTAACAAGTAATAATAAAGAAATTGTAATTTGGAATTTTAATGAAGGGAAATTGGAAGATTGTTAAAAATATTAATTATCTGAAATTGTTAATTGTTTAGTATTTAGTAAAAATTAGAATATATTTATTTCTGGCTCCAAAGAAGTTTAAATTTGGAAAGAACAATAAAAAAAATAATGGTCAAAATCAAAACCATATTAAATATAAGAAGATAAGTTCATTACATGTCTTGTTCTTAATTCAAAGGAGGATTTACTAATCTAAGGAGGAAGGAATTAAATCATAAATATTTTGGCTGTTGACTTTCAAAAAAATTAGATTACATATTTATATTAGTTAGATAGGCATACTTAATGGGTGAGTTCATTAAGTCTAAACAATTCAGAAAATCTACTTTTATCTTGTGGATACAATGAAACAATCATCTGGAAAAAGAATGAAGATAATAAATGGAGTTTTATGACTGAAGTTATTAAATAAAAAACATCTGATGATCCAAATAGGGCATTATTTTTAAAAGATGATTAATTTATTTTTTTTAACAATAGGAAAGGATCTACTAGTGCAATCGTATATTAATAAAATAAATTAGATTTTACTAAAAATTATGAGATTGAGTTTTTACCTATACCCACTTTAAAATCTAAATTATCTTAATCATTTAAGTTTATACCAGAATTGAATTTATTATTTGTTACATATAAAGAATACACTTACATATTAAGAAAATAGAGTAATGGAAAATTTAAGATTGTTAATTAATAATGTTATAAAACTGATGAAATATATGGAACTTTATCAATTGATGGGTAATACCTAGTAATATATGATTAAAGTTCAAAATTATACAATATTTATCAAATATAAAATAATTGATATGATCATTTATATATTAAAGTGATATTATTTCTAATATTGGTAAATATTTAAAAAATGTTATTTATTATTTATAATTATAAATATAAAAATTAATCAAATCATTATGTAATTATATTTGAATTATTTAAATCCACATAATCGTTATTTCTTTAATAAAATTAATGTATAAAATCGTTAGAAAAATATCAATTGATTGATCTTTTAACAAAGGAGATTCAATTATATTTAGTTAATTTATAAAGAAAGTATTAAAATATGAAATGAATTAGAAATCTAATATAATTTAATAGAATAATTAAAATATAATTGTAATAATTTAATGTTATATATATTATAATACAATCAAAATGAACTGATAACAATCCTTGTTCTGCTTTATAAATAATCATTTAGATATTCAAATATACTTAGAAATTTCTTCACTTAATCCTAATTTAATAATAGTTATTGATTGCTTATAGATGGTTTTATTTAATTAGAAATGGAATTAATATTATCTTTTAATTAGATAATTAATTTAGCATAACTAAATAAATACTTCTTAATCTTTTAATATCGAGTCTAAATTCGATTCCTTCTTTCAAAACTGTTCTCTAAATGCTTACTGAAAAATGAATGTTTCATAATCCAAGGAACCATTTATCTTATCTCACCTCTAACTTTATCAAATTATACTTATAATTCTACCCAATAAGATTTTAATATTTCATTAAGAAGTAGAAAGAAATGAAATAAGTTTATGATTGCTAAAATAATAAAATAAGGAATTTCAATATTTAATGAACCGTATAATTCATCAATATATATACCAAATCCTAAAATGATAGATATTTTGCAAACCTTAGCTAAAAGTAAATCTAATCATTAAGATTAAGTAATTTATATGATTTGAATCTACGATTAAATTCTGAATAAACAAAAATGACTAAGAGTACTAAAATACCTTTCTTAAAAATAATATCATTATAATATGCTATAAGGCCCGTATAATCCAGCCTATATTTCTGCATAATATCAATAATTGCATTCAAGACATAAGGATGATACTTTAATGTTAATCTATCCAATTATATTAATGTGGCAATTATAATTAAAACAAGAACTTTCAGTAATAAATGAAACAGGATCTCTGTATGATTTATCTTAGATCCAAACAAACATACTTCTTCGAACTATGTGATTGCAGGTAAATAACTATAATTAGAATCAGATGAATTTTATGGTTAGCACAGATTAGTTTCTTCATTAAAAGTATATCATTATTAAAAATATCCACATATTACTAAAGTATTATCAAATATGGATTAATTTAATGATCTAATGAATTTTTTTTTTTAATATTTTGACACTTCAAAAGCATAAAGACAATTTTTTATTGGATTTTCAAAACAGTCTTCACCATTTAAAGAAATATAATACCTTTAATCATGCAGAATTCGATTAATTGATTTATTACTATATGTATTTAAAAAATTAAATAATCTTAAAATTAGAATCCTCAATCTTTATATCAAGATTTAATGATTTATACTATACAATTCACAGGTCTTACAATTTAAGCCACAATTTACACCTTTAATTTATTATCCATCAGGAAATTAAAGAAACTCCAAAATTCTATTGTTTGTATTACTTTTCATTCCAAAATATGAACAAAGTAAACAACAATTTTCAAATAAATAATATCCTACATCACAATATAAGCAATTATAAGACTCATAATCTGATTTAACACAATTCTATATGGACTATAAACTTTATTTATCATATTAATAATGATTCTACTTACTAAGAATATAAAAAGGTTGAAATAAATGGGTGTATTCTTGAATTTTAAAGCAATTGGGATAATTATATTCAGTGTTACAATAATTTCAGCACCTTCAATCAATACTAAATTAGAAGTGAAATCAATAAAATAAACATCATATAGATCAAAGTTATTATTTTTTTGTAAAATATTTACAATCTTTCTTATAGTCTAAAAGCAGGCTTACCTGATTCACCATCAATTATAAAGTCCATCTTGCAAACTGTTTTTAAGAATCAAGTATCATCAAATAAATTTAGATTATTGATTTTAAAGACAAGGATTATGTATTTCAAAAACTAATGTTAAGATTTTTAAATAAACAATACTTGGATTAATTAGGCAATCAGAACATAATTTATCTACCTAATTTTGTTACAGACTCTAGATATTGTTAAAATTTGTTTTATTACATTTCCATTTTAATTTTTTTCGTTCAATTATTTCTGAAATTGGGGAAATAGTTTGATTGATATGAAATTACCTCTTTTGATTAAAATTTAAATACTTTGTTAATTAATGACTTTCATATTAATGAGAATGAACTTCATTAACCTCGTCAATTGTAATAATCTTATAGAAATAAAATACAATATTAGAACTATAATGAGAATAGATTGTTGCAATCAGAATATCTTTATATATCTTTTCTTTAATTTTAGAGTTTATCAGTAAATCCCTTGAAAATCAAAATTTTATTCAAAATGATATTTATTGCTAAATTAAGAGATAATTTTCTATTTTCTGAACAGATATTATTGTTCTAATTATTGTCTTGAATAATAATGTTATTTATGACTTAATTCTGACAATCAATTATCTAGATCAATGAAAAGAAGTTAATGACGAAAAATTATCCTTTTATCTATTTATTTTTATCTGTTTGCATGAGAATAGCGATTCTAAACGATTGAAATTAACTTGTAAAATTATTTTCATTAATAATTTTTTTTCATCTCTAAGAAAAAAGGTTTCAATAATATATATTTTAATTTAGTTGACTAAACTGAAATAAGTTTAAATTAGTATCAAAACTAAATTAAAAATATTCTTCAAATCAAATTTTTTACTTCAGATGATTAAAAGCAAAACGTGAAAATTTTATAAAATATGTTATTTTTATGATCTAAATTTCCAATTTTTGAGTTTACAGTCTATAAATAATCTTTTGGTATCAATTAAATTTCTTTTAAATTTCATTATTCTAATCATAGATTTGAATCATGTGTAAAATAAAAAGCTTCGATTTTTTGTAAAAAAATACTACTAATCACTTAAAGTAGATGAGATACAAAATTTACTTATTATATAAAAGGCATCAAGGTAGAGGATAAAAATTGTATTTTTGATTAGCTTGTTAAAGGCTTCTCTATAATTAAAACAATTCTATTCCTATTCCTTTTCGGAGTTGTTCAAATTACTTCTATAGTTCCAAAAAAAATAATTCTTTACATTGCATGGATCATTTAATTCCAAACAAACACTTTTTAGTCTGTTTAATAACCTCTATCCCAGTAAAGATTATTAAATTAATGAAATATATATTTTCTAAAATAATAATACCCTATGACCAGAGGATATAGTCAAAAAAATCCTCTATAAGGGTCTCGAAAAGCCAATAAATTAAGAACATTACTTGAAGAGAAAATCCTAGAAAAAGGTAGAGTGATTTGTGAACACTATATGAGGATTATTTGTAACAAAAGAATATAACCATTCCTTAAGATGTTATTCTTAGGAAGGTATGAAAGACAATCGATAAATTTGGAAAGAATAATTATAAGAATGTTCGATTGCTGGTTAGACCATAAAGCTAAATTTGAACCTAGAGAATATCTAGAGGAATTAATGAAGTAGAACCAAATTGAACAAGAAACAGATGGCAGTTGGGCTAGATATAAAATGCTGCTGCCCCTTAATAATCTAAAGGTGGAAGTAACAAGAAGAAAGTAATGGAATAGTTTTTTTAATATTTTTTTTAAAAGAAGATATGAAGGATTATCAGAAAAGAACTGAATGTACAATCAGTTTTCATCAAATAAAAAATATATTATAATTAATAATATTACTAAAGGAAACATTCAAATGCCATATAGTTATTCAAAATGAGAATGAGTTTCCATAAAGAAATCCAGAACAGATTAATGAATTCTAATAAATAGATCGGACATTCTACTTATTGATAAAGATTTTCATTTACAACATATAGAGCTCAATATAACATACCTTGAACTACTACCTAAATTATATTTTGGAGACAATAAGGGGATCAAAGTCTTAAGAGGAGATTATTCAGATATTGTAATAAATGTCAGAGGAGGTAGAGCATTATTTATGAATAATGATGATTTGTTGGAAGAAGAAAACCTAATTATAAAAACCTATAAAAAATTAAAATATAAGATAATCATCAGTCAAAAAGATCGCTACTGAAGACAGTCAAAAGAAAAAAGCGTACAGGAATCTCTAACAGAGAAGAAAACAGGAACTTACAGATAGGAACATGGAGCTGAAAGAGAAATAGATACGATTGCGAGAGATAGGAACATTGCAAAATTGGTCTAAGTTGAGAGAAAGAAACCCAGAGAATTGTATTAAACTAAGAATTGGATGTGTTTGTATTAGAAATTAAATCATCACACTTGGAGGTTATAAACTTGGAAAGTTAACCTACCAAAAACATTCAATTAAGGAATCAAAATCTTCTGACAACTAAAATTCAAACTAAATTTGGCTAGAGAAATGACAATTTAGAAAACAAATGGTAATATTGCAATGTATAAGGCGAGGAACTTTTTGAAGAACAGAGGAAGATAATTTAATTTAAGAAGGGAATAATGGATCAAATTTAATCAGGGGCAGAACGGAGATAAGAAATGGAAAGAATTAGAAAAAGACGGAAAAAATAAAGAAATTGATAGATGAAGGTGAGAGTACATTAAATTGATAACCTGATCCTTTCTAGGCGTAAGTTGTTACTTTAGCCTTGATGTAGATGGAGAACTGCGATTTTGTAATAAGTCCTCATTTCCTATACACCATAAGAATTAATTCTGAGTTTTTAGATCTGCATCTATAACTTTGCATACTATGTCTAGCTAAATTATTTTAACAGGTTAGAATATCAAGTTACATTCTTAGAGAATAGGTATTAGCTCTTTTTCTATCTGTTAAATAATTATTTTCCAAAAATTTCTACGTTTATGTTTAATTTCTTTACCATCTATTCAAGTATAGATACTTTATTACTCTTATTGTAAACGAATATCATTAACTTCCCTTTCATTTTCTTCCTCTTATACCCTTTCCTTTCTCATTATAAAATATTTCTTCCAATAACAAATTAATAAAAAATTAAATAGAATAATTTTATGATCTAAAGATATAGCGAGAATCTTAAGTCGTCAGCTAAATATATTATAGAAATATATCTATTATATAGTTATGAGTGAGATGAATTAAATATTGCCTTCTAAACTTTGAAACAATCAACATTTATGAATTATACCAGATTAATTTGAAGCTTAGATAAAATACATTATAGGTATTAAAAAATGAATTATGATCTGCTATGATTTTCTCTAAGAAGCTATTATTTACCTATAATTTTGAAAAGTTCTTCAATAAGCTCAATCAAATCTTGAAGTAAAGTTAAAAGGAAATTTGTATTAAGAGAATAAAACTATTAGTTTACATTATACTTATTAATATACTTCATTGGGCGGTTTGACCTCAGAAGGTATACTCCTTTTGAGTTTAACAAAAATTCAAGTTAATTTAACTTAAACTATGACCCCTAAACATATTTTAAAAAATTAGGAAACTGCTATGATTTATTATCATGCTCACTGCAAAAATGTATAATATTACAATTATCAGATTGTAATAGTCTTGTATTCAACGTGAAATAAGTTCTTTGCAAAATGAATAATAAGTCAAGGCAATTCAATAATATCATATAAGAAGGTGCTTTCTTAATAATATCCTCGAAACTTTACGGTTTTTAATTTACAAAATATATTGTTCTTTGAAAATAGCAACATGTTAAATATTTATGTTTTAGCAAAGAGGAATGGATAACCATTTATAACGCCAGTAAGAAACAGCATCCCAACTATGAGAAAGCCTGATCTTTAAACTCAAATTATTTATTTTGTTAAGGTTATTTTTCAACGATTTACTTTTCTATTGGTCAGCATTCAGCTCACAACTACCCTTAGTTAGAATGGAAGACTACTCTTTTAACTTTTGAAGATGATTGTTAGTGGGGATATTAATTATACTACAAAGAAAAACCCAATCCCTTATTATGATAATATTACATCAGATTTCAGTAGAATTAACAGATAAAGTTCCTAATGTACCCAAATAGATTACAAGAAAAAACACATAATGAAATTCTCGAAATACGTCATCATTAAGTCATTTAATGAATTCTCTGATCATAAAAACATATTTTTGTATTCTCTAGAAAACTTATTTTAGATACCTGTAATAAACTAGATTTAACTAAACTTAAGCTGTTTTTAAAGGTTCTCAATGAGCTCAGTTCCTTTATGAGATTTATTCTCATTTAATTACTGAAGAGCTATTAGGGATAATTATGTTAAAAATTAAATGCAGAAGTATTAAAATTTAAGCTCAAAATTTAAAATAAAGATAAGAAATTTATTGTTAAAGGAACATCAAAATATTTGCATCTGCAGATGATTTTGCAATCACTAAATTGACTTGCTGAATAGATATTCAAATAATTTATTGAACTAGCTTAGGAATACTAAAATCTAATTATAAATAATTTTGACCTTTTTGGAATAGAAAATGTTAGAAATATAAAATTGTTAAATATTGTAACTAAAAAAATCTATGAAATTAATCTTTATGCTTACACCAGATAAAGTAATAGATGATATATGGTCATAATTCAGTATAAATTCTTTAATGAATAAATTAGATAGAAATTAATGTATGTATTAAAGAAAATAATATTTATTAAATGATATAGAAGAAGAATATAAAAAATAAGAAGAATTTTTTGACAAATAGCCTTTTGAGGTTGAAATACTAAAAAATTTTTAAGTGAAAAAATTATCGCTTTAAATGGTTTTTTTCACTTAATAGGGTTTAATAGGGTGTACAATTAAATATCTCCACATTTTGGGTTTCTTATTTAAATATTGCTTCTCTTGGAAAAAATTTTCTTAAGGAAGTCAATGGATTTTAACTATTAGGCAAAAAATGATTATTGTTGTTTACTGACTTCTCTCGTTTGAAAAATTTACTAGAAACCAAATTAATTTGAAATTTATAATTTTGATAATTTATAATCACAAGAGATTGAAATAGGTAAATTTTTGTGAGTGTAAATTTTTTTTAATTTAATTATTTCTTATGTCATATAATTGAATTATGGCATAATAAGTATCAATCCTAAAAGAATTATTAAATTAACAAAATTTCCTATTATTAATTTTCAACCAGCTAAATTCACCTTCTCAAAATCATCAATTGTAAAATTATCTATTTTCACTTTTTTATTATTCATTAAAGCTATACTATCCATCTGAAACCATTGAACTTGATAACTATCAATCAAGTCTAATCTTTTTTTTTTTAAATTCATTCATTTCTATCGCTTGAGCATCCAACTTGAAATTGGCTGTTGAAAATTCGAAAAAGAAATTTCCAAATGCATACTCAAAAGTAAAATACAGAGTCACCAAATCCAGATTCTTCGAGATACTTCCTCCAAAAAAATATCATTTTTCCAATTTTTCCTATATGATCAGAAACTTACCTAGTTCTCATCCGAATAGTTTTTACGATTAATAAAAGTATCCCCAAATTTTTGGACGAGATTCTAGTTTCAATTAGAAATGATTCCATCCAATCTCTGACTTAGATAAGACATTGATACCTCCTATTGTGCCTCATTGACAATTTTCTTTAGATTAACTATAATGTTAGACTCTATTTATATTAATAATTTAAACTAGATTGTTTGTACATTCACCTGGCTATGAAACTCTTGAGAGTGTGTCAAAAGAAAATTTTCTACTTTTTAAAAATGGTTCACCTCAAACTTTGGGATAAAAAGAGATTATTGCTAGATAATTAATTGATGTAAAATTGAAATAAATCTTAAAGATAAAGAAAACCATATAGTTAGTTGTAGAAATTACTTATTTTTAGGATTAAAGTATGAAAGCAATCCCATGAATTAAGAAATTAACATATTTACTTCCAAATTATGTTCTATGATTTCTTTTTTAGAAAAATAATACATCTTCGTAAGATAGATAGAAGTTGAATGTTTCATCTGACATCATGATTAGACTTATATTCCTCAAATCCATTTATAAAATTCTTGATATGAAGTCCCATTCTGTTATGTTTCATTTAGAATTTAAGTTTTAACAAAATAGATTTCCATTAAAATAACTTGTTCCAATCATATGCACTACTATTAATTTTTTTATTTCAATTCTATAATTTCAATAGTATGTTTATATGAACGAATTTAACATTGTTTATTTAGCATGTGTCTTTTCCATAATAAAGATTTTAAATCACTTTTCAAAAAATATATTAAATACTTCCCATTATATCCTATTTAACAATTCAATATAAATTGATATTAGTATATTTTCCAATGATAGACTTAAGCCATAAATAGTTCTATATTTTATATCAAAGATAGCTTAAGCTAATAAATTTCTCATTACAAGACTATTATCTTATTGTTTTTAGTTTTTATTAAATAAACCTCCTTTACCTATAAAATAAAATTGATATAAAAATTTATTCTTATAAAATTCACTAGCTTATTTCTGAATACATTCCTAAATTCTTAATTTGTTGGTTTTTCTAAGGTAGTAAGAAATATTCTAACTGAGAAAAGTGTATCAATGTATATTTTTTCCAAAATATAATAATTAAACCAATAACCGAACTAATATTTCTTGAAGAATATTTTAAAGCAATTATTAAATTCTTATCTCATTAACTAACTCGTTAATTATCTAATATTGATTATAATAATAATAATTATATTGTTTTTCTCTTTGTTATGGTGCTCATTCCTTTTGTTTTTTTATAAACTTTATACCATAATGAGTGTTATTATAATAAACTCAATCAAAATCTTCGTTGGATATTCTTTATGATTTAGAAATATTAGATAAGAGAATTATATTTAATTTTGTTATCAGCTAAATTAAACATTTTCAGTCATAATATCTAAAAAATTTACTTTTCTCATTTTTTTTTCCTTTATTCATTTGATTTATAATGTATTTATTATAATAAAATAAATATTTTTGAGTAGCAATTAAATAGAAATAATTTATTAATCACCATAAAATTATAAATTTTTTTTCAAGAATGTTTTAAATCAATGTAACAGGAATATATTTTTTGAATTCAATCTAATATCATTATAATAAACAAAATTTTTGTATATTCAGTGAATTTAAAATTAAGGAATAAAACTAAAAATTTGATCCTATCATTTATATTTTGTACTCTAAAATCTTTTAATTAATTAAAACTGAAAATCATGTTAAGAATGTTGATATTCAAAATCAAATAAACTGAAATGAAAATAATAAAATTTGATAATTTAAATATTATAATTCTCATAATTATCTAAACTTTCTTATTTATATCTCCTTTGATTTATCATCCCAAGTGATCAAATACTCTCCATCATCACTTAATTATCCAAAAATAAGTTTATGATTAAATTCAGTATATTATTAAATGATAAAGTCATCATTTTCTTTCTTCCTCATTAAATTAACATTAGTGCCATTCTTATTCACTAGAATGCATTTAGACTTTAAGTATTATTATGGAAATAAAATATTCTCACCACCTGAACCATATTTTACAGCAATTTGCTTAGTCTTGCTATACTGTTTAGTATTACTATCCATCTCATATATATCCATGTATTTTTAACATTTTGGTTAGAATATAAATTAATTATCACTAATAAAACATAATCTTAATCCATATGTATCTACTTTTATCTTTTATGTAACATTCCATTTATTATCCAACTTTTATTATTCTATTACTAATATTTATGAATCAAATGAACAAGATATCAATTTATTTTATTGATCATTTAAGCTTAATGAATATACTTATTAAGTATGATCAGTTATGGTTTATTAACACATCCAGTTTACCTACTTCATCCAAAATTTTATTGTGTTATCTAAACTACCTGAGATAATTAGATCATCAGTATTATTTAATTATAAACAATATATAGGATTTGAATGTCCATTCAATATTTATTAACATTTCCATTAACTATTTCCTATCTCTTACCATATTATTATTGAATTATCATGACTTCCAGATACAAAATTATTTGTATTTTTCATGAAATTCAAAGTATAAACATTATATCTATGCTCACTTAGTATTTATATTTAATCCAGTTTCCCTTATCTATGTTGAAATACTTTAATATTCTTATCACATCCAGCTACCACGATTGAGCAATCTTTATTAAAAGCAATAGCTTAACACCATTCATTTTACTTGATTGTATTTTAATTTATGATTTCAAAGGTGAATGGGTTTAGATTTTAAGGTTCTTTAATTTATTTATTTTCTTTTTCTTCAATATTTTATTTTAGATTAATTTTTGGAATCTCAAAATCTTTATTTTTTATGATTTCTTCATATCTTTTGTATTCTCTCTTCCTTTCTTCAATTTCTTTATCCAGAGATTTATTAAATTTTTATTCCTTAATCTTAAGTTCTCTTTGTACAATAGAGTTTATTGATGGTTATAACTCAGATTTTATTTAGTTTGTTAGATCAGAATGTATGTATTCATTTGTAAATATTGATGGTGATTGAATAATAAATTAAGGGCTTGTGGATAAGAACTAAAAATTCGAAAGACAAGGATGAATTGAATCCAAAAGAATTTAATCAATTGATTAGCTTATTTTATTATAGGATGACTTTGAAGCTAATAGAAATAACTTAACATACTTCTATTTATTCTTATGCTATATTGAAGCAATCTTCAACTTTTTATTTATACAATTATATAGAAAATAGTGAGTTTTAAGAAACAGACATGCTAATTTATTTATATTAGATTTAATATTTATTTGAAATCTTTTATAAATAAAATATTATCTAACAAATTAATATTACTTTATTTAATTAAATTTTATTATCTTCATAATTGAATGAAATATAAATTTAAACATTAGAAATAATCTATATAATCCAATAATAAATTGATATCTTGGAGACTAATTTACCATTTTGTCTCTTTACTAACATTTAATGATACTGATGAAAATTATTAATATTTTTTGATATTAATAAAATAATGAGATAATACCTGTTTATACTTGCAATTGTTATTTATTAATATTGCGTTTATAGTAATCAAGAACTTAATCAACTAATTTAGAATTTTAGCAAATTTTTAAACTACTTTTAGTGAATTATAAAGGATCATTCTGTTTTCAATTCATATCACTTGCTCAAGAAAATGAATATATTTTACCATTAGAAGCAGTTTTATTGATCTTCTTACCTTTCTTAATTATTTAATTATTTAAATTTTTTCCATAATTTATCATATTACGCATAGAGTTTATATATTCCTGTAAGTAGTTTAAATTCAAAGGCTTAGTTTTCAATAAAAATAAACAATAGCCATTCTTATCTAGTTTAAGCCATAAAAATTCATAATTAATGAGCTCTTTGAATTTATCATACTAGTATAATAAGAATTTGAATTTTCTTATCTAACATTATGAATGCAATATTTCTTTTTAATAATTAAATGTCATCTGTTGCCTTAAATATCAAGGGTATATAGATAAATAGAATATCCTGATCACTACTATTTTTTCAACAATTACATTAAGAGATTTAAATCAATATTTCCTCCCATCTCTTTTTAAAAATTAATAAGAATTATTAAATTCGATTCTTTGATTTTGTTCTTTTTATTGAAAGTAACTCTCACTCTTGACTAATAAAATGTTTAGGTTAATCTTATAGTCTAAAAATACCCAAATGAATCTTACTATTTTAATAATTGTAATAGTTTTATTTAATCGACACTGTTTTTTATCTATAGCTTAATCTATAATAATTTTTCACTTCAAAGACTATCTATTTTAAGTAATTATACTAAAATAATATATTGTGCAAAATAATTTCTGGATTTCATTTAAATACAATTGTAATCTATCTTTATGGTGATATAAATTGATCCTGAAATAATTAAAATAATTAAGAATAAAGATAATAGGTATACTATTTGAATTAAATAGATTTGATTGTATTTGAGGTAAAATATGCTATTCAATATTCAATTCTAAATTTACATTTGATTCTTTAATAATATTGAATAATGAATTTATGTTAATAATAATATCAATTATAAATAATAACTTAATATGGTTTTCTGTTTAAATCATTCATTTTTTTGTTAAACCTAATCCTAATTTTTGGCTAAAATAATTATTATTTTTATTTAATAATATCAGAAATGAAAAAGCCTAAAAAATAATTGGCTGGCTGCTTGATATTTTTAATAGTGCATATTGGATTTAAAGTTAGTGAAAATTCCTAAATCATTTTGTTTTTAATTAAAAAACCCAGAAAAACCATAAGAGAGCTAAAACGAAAAAGTAATTTATAAAGATATTTTCTGTAATCTCTTTATTTTTCTCTTATCAATTATAAAAAGTTCATAAAGAGAAGTGCATGCCTAAACAAGAATTGATCTACTCTATTTTGGATTATTACTTGACTTAATTAAAATGTTCTGTTAAGCTAAATCAATTTATCTTATATTTTAAGTGGCATAAAGGACGCTACCCATTAAAGAAAAGGATTTTCTATCCATGTATTCTATGTCGGACTGTTGTCTTTCAAATCGCAAGATATATGATTTGAAATAAATCTAAAACCTGGAAAATGCAGAAAAATATTCTTAGCGAAAAATTATTTGATTTAAATAAATTTAAAAAATATATTTTGTTAATTTAATTTTATAAATTCTCATAAATAATTGCTTAATTACTTATAAAACATTTAATTCTAAATATTATATGTTGAAGGAAATTCCATTAAGAAATTTTCATTTGAAACTAAACCATATTTTTTTTGAAGTCAATTTATGATCTTTACCATTCATCCTAAAACTATACTCTCTTACAAATAGAAAATAAACATAAAAGTTCAAGTTTCAATGATAATGATATAAAAAATTAAAGGATAGATAATTTTTTTTCATTAAGATAAATGTTTACTTCAGTTGATTCACTTTATAAGTGTAATTCATATGACCATTACCAATAGATTTTGGAACTATTTTATAATTTGATTCATAAACTTTATAGCAAAAGTTTAATATATCTTAGTGAAGTAGGGCAATATTTGGATAATTAAGAATAAAAAAAAAGTACTAAATCATTCATGGATGGATGGATAAATATTAGGAGGGTTTGATTTAAAAAATGAAATTACCAATTTGAGATTATGTCTATAATAAAAGTTACATCAGTAAAGTTCAAAATAGAAAAATCAAAAAAATTAATAAATAATGTAAAAATATAATTATTTAAGAGATCTTAGAGGTTTAATTCTCATTAAAGAAGATTATTAAAATATATCTACATGATTTTAATTGATACATAACTTAAAAGTGTAAGATTTCAATTATAAGTCTATAGATAAACATATAAAAATTAGTTATTGTTTGTCTAGATAAACTATCAAAAATAAATACGTAAACTAGAATAAATAAATAAAATAATTAGTCTAGCATAATTTATTATTTTATAAATGAGAGTATTAACATTTAGAAGACTAACGAACAAATTTTATTCTCAAAAATAGATATGCATTAAGAAATATGATAATACCGGTGAATAATATTTTTATAATTAAATTTTATCATTAATAGTAAAGCTGCTTTGATTTTTAGGAAATTATTTAAAAAAAAATTCTCCATTTGAATTCTAGGGTTACATCTAAGAAGTTCACATAAGAATAAATGATTCATCCGATTTTTTGTTCTAATAACAAGCAAAGGTAAAACAGGTTAGATTTAAAGAATTTTTTAGTTGAAAATCAAAAATTTTTAAAGTAATTATTTGACTTTAATACTAAAAATACAAAAAATTAATTTATCCTTAAAAAATCATTAAGCTTAAAATATATTTAACTAGAATCTTAATAGGAATTTTTGCTTAATAGAATTATTATTTAAATCATATTAATATTATGATTATTATTTCTCAAAAAAACAATTGTTTTGCTGTTTAATTTTTGATAGTTATTTAACATTAACCACTAATAGGACGGCTTTAGTGATTTTCTAGGAAATTTTTTTGTGGGATATCAAAAATTTTTCTCACTGATCCCTCCATAGATCTGCACTAATTTATGGAAAGAGTTAATTAGGACATTCTTACTCTCTATATCACTTCCAACTAATCTCAAAATCATTCCTGTTTTCAACAAAGAAACCTAAAAATTAGGTATTTATAAATGAGATAAAATTAAATTTTAAAAGATTAGATATAAAAATAATAAGTGAAGAAATACTATTAAATAAACTTCAATTATATTTTATATTTCATCACTTCAAGCTTATCCAAATCAGACTTTAACTCAAATTTTTCTATACATAATGTTAAGATTATGAATGATAATTACTCATTAAGATAATCTCTCCATATTAGTTTTAAATTTATTCAAGTATTCCTGATATATTTTATTTTTTATCAAATTAACAATTTTTATTTTAATAATATCATTTGAACTTCTCTTTGAATTTTTATTGATTTTATTAATAAAAAATATTCCTAATTGTAATTAAAACATTTTTTAATTATAATTATTAATATTATCAAGAGAAGAATATTAAAATAATTTTGAAATTGAGGTTTACAACTGAAGCTAATAATCAAAAAGCAATTTTAGTTACAAAATCAACTATTAATATTCTTTAGATTAAAAATAGAATCGATATTTATAAGTATACAAAACATTGAGTCTCAAATAAATGAATATTTTTTTCAGTAAAATACCAGGGAATATCAGGGGATCTATAAAGTACTAACATCATTACATATATTATTGTACTAATGAAATTTTAATAATTAAAACTTTTATCCAAATAAATTAAAAAATAATAAATCTCCACAGAATTGAAAAGTTGTGAAAAATATTAAGAATTAAAAATGAATCTTAAAATTTATCCTAATTTAACATTTCTAATCAATTGATTTACTGACTAGTTATATAATCAGTTTCTTGAAATAAATATTTCTCTTATATCAAATTTGGCATGTTTTGAAATTAATTTAAATTTCCTAAACAAAAAACTTGAATTTTTACTCTTCTTTTTTATACATATTCAAAAATAAATAAAATTTTTTAAAATATAATTTTTATTATAGATTTTGATGATGAAGGAGGGATTTTGGTTAACTTGATTTTTTAATCGAAGTGTTATATAATTCTCTCTTGTAATTAATAAATACAGAGTAGATATTTCCTTATCTTATTTATTCAGTGATTATAAAGGATTTGCATTAACTAGTAAAAGTATTTTCATATATATTTTTTTCATATCTGAGCAAAAATGTTTGAATAAAATATATTTTAACATACTTAATTAATTTCGATAAAAATTAATCTAATAGCAAAATTATTTCAAATATATTCGTCAAAATTTTTGCTTTTTTTAAAAAGCCTTCTTTAAGATTAGTTTATTGAAAATAAATAATTATTTAATCATCTGAATCAGGAATGAAGTGATTTCTCTTTTTCTATGAGTCGTATTTAATACAATTTAACACTATTGCATAACAATAATTCTTCTCATTTATTTATCGGTCGATCTTTAAATTGCATTACCTATTCCAATTTTTAACACAGTTTTCTTAATTAATCTATAAAAAAATTATCTTCTAATAATATAAAATCTTTTAAGAGGGATTCAGTGTGTTTGATTCTGATCTTTATAGTATTTTTGGAAGATTTTTTCTTCTTTCATTTGATTTTCTTATATAACATGAAAAGCTATCTTAAAACATATTAATTTTTTATTTTGATTGCTCATACACTCAAGGCAACTTTTTAAAAGGGCATCTTGGTAAATAAATTGCTTTGAAAACAGATCATTTATTAATTAATAAAGATGTTTAGCATTGAAATCAATTATTAAATAAAATAAAGTTTTGAACACCTATAAATGATGGA